CAGCCATGGAGAACAGGCAGATAGCAAAGCTGAGCGCTAAGACAGGGTTCGAGTGAAAACAACTGATTCGGTTATATTCAGATGATATCAGCAAGGGTTTGGTAGTGGCTGTCCTCATCACACTCAATCCCTCTAGCCAATAGGATTCTTCGTCTTTCTCCGGTTTTGGTTGCTCAAGGAATACCGTTGAATCACCCCAGGTCTCCAATACCTGATTAGAATACACTAGCAGGACGAAGAATAGGTTGGAGCTGGTAACCACGTACTGGAAAAGGTAGAAGAGATAGGCCTCCAGACCCTGGGGAGTAACCAACCCTAGAGCAAGTAGCAAGAACCCCAAGTGGCTTATCGTACTATAAGCAACCATCCGCTTAATACGGTATTGAGCTACCCCGAGGAGAGCTCCTAATACAAGGGATAGAAGAGCAGATCCAAGGAGAATGAACCCCCATACCGAATGGTCGGTAACCACTATCCCCCCTATTTGGGTTAAGCCCTGGTAGAGGGCTAGGAAGGCTAGTAAGGCAACCTTAGGCATAATTGCTAGCCAAGAAGTGACCAAGGTTGGTACCCCGTCATAGACATCAGGGGCCCAGTAATGAAAGGGAGCTGCAGGAAGCTTAATAAGAACCGCAAGACCTATAAAGATAACAGGTATAAGGAACCCGCTATAACCTACTCCCAAAGAGGAGACCAGATATACGCCTTCTAAACTAGTGAGGCCAGATAAGGCATAGAGTAGGCTACTCCCAAGGAGGAACAAGCAACTTGAGAGGGCTCCAATTAGGAAGTATTTCAGGGCGGCAGAAGTGGCTGATTCAGAGTCACGGTACAAGCAGGCGAGGATGTAAAGAGGGAGACTTTGAAGCTCAACAGACAAGTAAACGGTAACCAAATCAGAACTAGTTACAAGGCAACTCATACCAAGAGTACTGATCAGTAAAATAAGAGGGATAAGCTTAGAAAGAGGGTCATGGGTAATCTCTTCTCTTGTTGAGGACCAGTAATACAAGGATTTCATCGGAAGGATACCGGTAGCAAGTACCAATAATAAGGTACCGGAGGCCAGGATAAAGCAATCAAATGCTTGTGATATAACAGAGACCAGGCAGACTCCACCATAGATTCCTACCCCAACACCTAAAGGCTCTAATAACAAAGTGTTAAAGGCCAATAGCGAGGATAAGAGTAAAACTAAGATGGCTACTCTATTGATTACTATAGAGGAGAAGTAGAATACGGAAGAGAAAGGCAAAGCAGCCGTTAACAATAAGATGGATAGGATAACCATTACTCTTCACCTAACATATACTTCACATTGAAAGGGAAATGCCATCTACTACCTTGAAGTTTCAGACGCGCTAAAGGGGATGATTAAGGGGGGAACTTTGACTTAGGGGTATCTAAAGAGACAAGTTATCAAGGGATTAGAATCTGTGGAAAGAAGGTATTGACGATAGGAGATGCAATCAGAGGGCTGGCTTAACCCGGGGCTTTAGCCCCAAAGGATACACGGTTTCTCGTTGGCATGGTTGGTATGGTTGGTATGGTTGGTATGGTAGCAACCATAGCAAGCCCAAGAGGTGAGGCACGACCATTTAGAGCAGCGCCAATTTGTTGCTATGCAAAGGAGCAAGCATGCCTTACTCTCTTCGCTCTTCTTTTTCCCCATTTGAGCTACGGTCATCTTACACGGGTTTAAGTTGAACGTTTGGGGTATTTCACCCCATGCTAGCAAGCGGAGACCCGACTACTGTACAATAGTGTGTTGTTGTTGTTGTTGTGGTGGTGGTGGTGGTGGTGGTGGTGGAACTCACCTCACCTCACCTCACCTCACCTCAGGCCGAAAAGTATCAATCAAATATTGCTCCAATGCTAAAATTGCCCCTTTATCAGGTCCATGCTAGCAACAGAAGATAACAATCAAAGAGAAGGAGTTAAGCCCATGTTTCAGAATATCGAATGAGGGAAGTGTCTTGTACAGATGCAACTTTTAGACTGAAGTGCTTTGAAAGGCGAAAGTATAAGGCCAATAGTCGAGCTTCCTGCATACCGCTTTCCATTAGCAGAATTGGTAATTCTGTACAGCCCTTGGTAGCATGCACGGCCCTTAACGGCCTTGGGGCCCGTAAGGCCACCTTTAGCCCCTAGCATGCATCATTACTGAATAGTATCATATACGTTGAGGTTCACTAAGACCTTTATTTAACCTCTTAGTATCACTTGTAGCTTTAGAAGAACCAAAACGAAGTTGCCCTCGTGGAGATGAGGTAATAGAAGAGCAACCACCCGAAAAAAGATGGGAAGAACCCGCTTCCCCAGGAAGGGTAGAAGTAGCATAGGCTCTAATTGGCACACCTGCAAAGGCATTAACAACAGTAGAATCAAGTAATTCCCGGATGAAGCGCTTAACCCAAGAGAGGACTGATAATGCCCAAAGGTTAACCAATCAAACTCCTTTTTAACCCCAAAGAATAACAAGAGTATCAATGAAGACCAGAAGGAAATCGGCTCGAGGTGCTGGATGAGACATTTTTGTCAAAGGGTAGTTGTTTTCATCATCAGAGGATAACCAAGCCAAATGAAACACCAGGGCTACCTTGCCAAAGATAGAAGTAAGGTCAACCAGATTGAATCTCTACAGGTAATTGTGAAGCAAAAGTAAAGATTAAGGTAAACATGAAACGACCTAAAATCCAAGCTAGTCGGCCTATAATAAGAGTTAGAAGGTTCATGAATACAAGAAGTAATGTCCCGTAAATCTAGTCAAGAACCATTGCCAAATGCAAATGGCAAAGATTAAGAAGAAAGTAGGAAAAGCATAGAACTATATCATTCAATTTAGGTTACATATGAATCCAAACAAGTAGCCAATGCTACGTCCTTATCTGGTAGTTCGTACCACCCTTGCAAAGATGGTATCAGCCACTATCTTCTTTGATTCAAACTCTCAACTCACTCTACCCATCCTATCACTCTTACTCATCGTTACACTTGCTTACTTTCTGCCATCCTTAAGTGGACACTAGGCTTAAGAATAGAAAAGGAAGTAGGAGGGAAGGAAACTTCAAAAGAACCGTATGGAGTACTACCTGGTGAAGACCTGAAATGTGAACCAGAGGAATAGGGTATCGACGATAGGAGAGAGAACTACAGGGGATAAACGCCATTTTTTTGCTTGGTAGTTGCGGGTTGGGCTACCTAGGGTATGGTTGCTATGCTAGGGGGGGGCTACCCTACAACGGCAAACCATGCCGTTGATCATCCGGGGGGTGGGGCAAATCTGAAGATTTGCCCTCTGAATCAAGTGTATGGCAGGGTGAGCGGGATTTGAACCCACATCTTAGAGTTTGGAGCTCTACATTCTACCGTATTGAACTATCCCCCTATTCTGATTTACTCTCTCCCCCCTCTCTGCCTTCTTGGCTAAGTCCGACTGGCCTCACCTCACCGATAACCAGTATCTTCCCTTAATCTTACCCTATATTCACCAACTTCCTCTTATTCCCTTATCACTTACCTGGTTATTATCAGATATTGAGATTCATCCAAGCTGACAGGGTAGGTAAGAGTCTTCAGGAGAGGTTAAAGTACGGTTAAAATAAGACTTGCTAAAGAGTCAAGGGGGAATTTGAAGTTATAGGGGGCTCCTTGGAGGCCCCCCAAATTAGAAGGTATCAAGGGATTAGAATCTGTGGAAAGAAGGAATCGACGATAGGAGAAAGACAGTTAAAGGGGGGGGCCTAAAGGGGCGGGGGGGCTAGATAGGGCGCCCCTTGGGCGCCACCTCGCCCCCCCCGGCAAAGGAGCCCCGAAGGATACACGGTAAGAAATACCGTGGAAAACAACCAAAGACTCCCCCTTTTCATGCGGTTAAATGATACAGTGAAAGGTAACACCAATGAATTCACCGGCCTGATGCGAATTAGGAAAGGAGTTAACAAGGTTAAACCCTTCATTACTAAGCTCATATAAGAAAAGCCCATTGGCATGAGGGGAGCTCGAGGGATGACCTCGACCTCGACCTCGACCTCGACCTTGGTTATGGTTGGTAGTTCCGGGTAGGGGCTAAACCCCCCTGCTAGTTGCATGAGGCAAAACCAATTATCATGTAATCGACCTTTAGGATAGCTTAGCTATCCAAGAGGAGGTGGCTAAGTAACAGCGGATAAGGGTTGGTGAAGAGGATAGGTAGAGGGGGGGATTCTTTTAAGGATCTGAAGCCGGAGGCCCGGGCCCTTTAGGGCCCCTCTTAAGTATGGTTTGCCGTAGTTTACTCCAGGAGTCTGAAGTTCTGCCTTCCTAATCTTTAGGGATTAACTCTCGTGTCTCTGGACTACTCTCTCTTGACTAGTGGAACAGGGTCTCTCTTTACTACCGTCTTTAGTAACCGGGGAGTAGCGTGTTTAGTAAGCGGAAAGTAAGAGATGAATGATTCAATCATTAATGAAGTTTCTGATAGTAGTGTAATTACTCCAATTTGTTGCTTTTTCTAACTCGCCCTCTCTCTTTAGTACCTTACGGTAGAACCAGGGGGTAGTTACATTACTTCATTGTAGAAGGGAAACACTCTTGCTTATCGCCTGATACAGGCGAATCATTACCTTATGCGGGGTTTAGGGGCTAAGCCAGGGCTTTAGCCCCCCCCAAGGGCATTAACACTTCCTAAAGCAAGTTGTGTGCACTTAATTAGTAAGAGGGAAGTTCATCTTCTGCAAGGAACTAGTAAGGATCAAATTGCTATCAAATTGAACACCTTTAAGACTCCTTAGTAAAGAGTTCAGGATGG